ACAACACAAGGTCGGCGTCGAAGCTTGGCGATATTTTGTAAAATTTGTTATATGTTTAAACAGTATTGTTCCTGATGATGTCTTCCGTTGGAGGACGAAATATCGAAAATAATAAATAATTAAACAACAAAAACAATCTATCAAAATCGGTTCAGTTTTGGATATAGCCCCTAAATATATATATCTTCAAGTGATTTCGGGTTAATTGTGCAGCAAATGACAAATATCCGTCCAAATTACCTGAATTTTGGCACATCAGACCGAATTTAGTCTAGAAGCAAGTACATTAAATTTGAAAATCGGTTCACATATAGCTTTTGCTCTCATATATATGTTTCATCCGATTTGGTCGCTAAGTCCCTCACATTCGTAACATACATTTGACAAGAATGATATTTAGTACCAGATATCTTATAGAGCTCGAAAATACATTTGCCAAATTTCAACGAGATCGGCAAAGATTTGAATATAGCTGTCTTACATATATCACTCATTCGATATCAGGTTTTTTTGTGCAAATAATGGCTAATATCAGCCCAAGTGGAGTGAATTTCGTGAAGTGATATCATGCACTCTATATCAATGTTATTTGGTATAAAATATAAAAATGTATCCGTCAAATTTAGAATTTTATATGCCTTCCATATATTAGTTCCCTCCTGTTGGGCTCTCCTGAATTAACTCTCAAAAATTCTACGGTTGTAGTACTTCTATGGTTATAGTTGTTCTGAATGCAGTAAAATCCAATATAATATAGCTCTGATTGAATCTATTCTCTTTTAAATAGATAACTTTTAAAATAAGTTTTTAAAAATTAACAACTTTGAAACTCACTGTTAATGACCGACAATAGCTTTAGAAACTCACCTCACTTACTCACTCACAATTATAAAATTCCAATTGTGGCTAATTTTTCGACCTCTTGTTTTCTGGTCAAAGCTTGAAATAATAAACAAAAAATCTACCAACAAACAAATGTTACATTAAGATGAGATCCTTGCATAATTGTGGTTCATTAGAGCTAACCGAAAAAGAAAATTGTCTAACAACTTTCTTCGATTTAAAGTAGATATTTTTTTTTCGGCTTAAGCGATCAACCACAAAAAATATTTCTGTTTCGTTTTTTTTGTTTTTTGGTTAAGTTTCAAACATGCCTCTAATAGTTTTCGATTGCATTAAAATTATTGCATTTGTTTTTGTTTTGGTTTCCACTTGAAATTGCACTGCAGCCGATTGGTGCTGCAGTAGTGCTTCTGGAAACTGGAAAATAATTTGCAATTATCATTAAAATTTTTTTAAACATTTTATCGTTGTCATTTTGGGATAATGACGACAGTTGGTGGTTAAATAAATGCGACTACTGTGAGGAATTGCATTTGAAAAAAAAAAAAAAAAACAAAAAAACAAAAAATGAAATAATAATTATTTGGAATTTTTCGCCAGCATTTTGTTTGCAGTGGCCAGAGGGGGCAGGGGAAAGAAATTCATTATTTTTTTTTTTTTTTTGAAAAATCATAATAGGCGATTTCTTATTATTTATTTTAAAAATATTATTTTTTTAATTACATTCATACGTTATATAGTTTTGCTATTTTATACCTTGAGTTTGTCATTCCATTTGTAACACTTCAAAGTACATGGAGATCACTCTAGCTTCCAAACGAGTAGAAGTAGGCTGATAACATTTTACTCAAATGTGTGTTTGGTCTGCAGGACTTTTGGTATTTAAAATGGGTTTTATAGGTCCAAGTTTAGCTCTAGCCCCGATATAACAGTACCTCCCTTTATTCCATATTTTGATGATTTTAGCGATATTTATGGGTTTTATAGGTCCAAGTTTAGCTCTAGCCCCGATATAACAGTACCTCCCTTTATTCCATATTTTGATGATTTTAGCGATATTTATCGCCGGAATTGTTTCAAATTTCGAAATTATAGTTCGTAATGGGTACTACACCCTATGACAGAAAATTGTCTGCGCAGATCCACGTCTTCGAATATAGTAATAACTATGACAAAAGATGCCTATGCAGGTCCACGTCGTCGTATAGAAAGGGTGATTTTACTTAAATAAGGAGAATTTTCAATTTTGGAACAAACATCAGCCAGAACCATTGCAAAAACTACCAATGCCGCCAGAAAAAGCCACAGGTTGGTGCGGTTTATGAAGTGGTGGCATTATTGGATCGTACTTCTTCAAAGATGTTGTGAATCATATCGTAACTGTCAAAAGTCTGCGTTATCGTGAGATATCCAACTTTTTTCCAAAATACAAGGGCTTAATAGCCTAATTTCGCCCATAAATACCCAGGAAGCTCATAAAAAGCTAAATAACCATCCGATTCCATTCCAGACTTGGTACATGTCAATATTTCCATCAACACAAGATCTGTTATAAAAATGGTAAAGATCGGATCATTTCTTTTGTTACCTGCCCCATATAGAGTTGAAGATTTTAAAAAACCAAACTCTCAAAGAAAGCGAATTTAGCATCCAACTCTCCTCAAATTTCACACATACAAACATTGTTTCTAATACAAGATCATATATATGTCTGCGAAATCCTTCTGATACCTCACCGGCAAAGGGTCACAATTTTCAATACTATTATCTGTCATAACTTGCAAAACAAGTCAGCGATTCTTTACAACTTGCTGTATCTAAGTATTTTTCTCAAGCAGAAACCTGAGATTAATATTCAATTTATGGTTTCGCATAAAATTGTATATGTTAATGTTCGATTTTGTTATAATTTTGCCAACACCAATACAGGGTTGCCCATATTCGACGGACCCATCAGGCAACGCCATAACTTTTGACAGAGATGTCACATCGCTTAATGGCATACCGCGTTTGAAGCGTCAGTCCAAGCAGATTTTTACCATGAACCAATACACGCCACGCAAGCGCTCTGAAATAGTTGAAATTTACAAGAAGTCAATTGTGAAAACTCAACGTGCTTTTAAAACATTAAAAAATGTGAGAAGTGCGCCTTCTAAGAACACCATTAAGCGTTTATACGAAAAATTTTCGACTGGTAAGGCTCTTTCTAATCCAAAGAGGCCATATTAAAGTCGAGCAAGGCGATCGGCCTAGAATACGGCTGCCGTACGAGCCAGTGTTGAGAGGTCCCCAAGAACATACCAAAAACGCCATTCTCAGCAGTTGGGCATGGCTCGGTCCACTTTACAACGGATTATTCGCATTGATTTGCATTTGTTCCCGTACAAAATTCAATTGACGCAAAGAATGTTGCCTGCGGACAAGCCTCGTCGATTGGAATGGGCCCAAAGAGTCATCGAAATGGCCGAAGATGACAATTCTTGAACAAAATTATCATGTCCGATGAAGCCCATTTCACATTGAATGGGACCGTAAATAAGCAAAATTGCCCGTTTTTACGCCATTGAAAATCCTCAGGAGATTCAAGAAGTGCCTCTTCATGACGAAAAAGTCACAGTTTGGTGCGGCGTTAGTGCGAAAACGGTCATTGGGCCGTTTTTCTTCCAAAATGAAAATGGCCATGCTGTTACCATCAATCAGGAGCGTTATCGCGACATGATGACCAATTTTGTGATGCCAATTATTCGTCGCAAGCGTATGAGGCAGTTCTGGTTTCAACAAGACGGCGCTTCACCGCACACAAGTCGCATAACAATCGATTTTCTGAAGAATTTGTTTTCGGGCCGTTTGATGTCGAAAAGTGGTGATTTGGACTGGCCACCGCGTTCGCCCGATTTGACGCCGCCTGACTTCTTCTTAACAAGCCAAAGACCGTAGAAAAGCTCAAGGACAACATTCGTGAAGAAATAGCCGCTATTCCGGCCGAAATGTTGGCAAAAACGATGGAAAATGCAGCAAAAAGGGCACAATACGTCATCAACGCCAGAGGCGGCCATTTGAGAGATATCATATTCAAAAACTGATGTAAACAAATCAGCTTGGAACAAATTAAATGATTAACATTGCCAACCGCCAAATTGTTATTTTTTTTTGATTTAAAAAAAAAAAAAAACATGGGTCCGTCGAATATGGGTAACCCTGCATTGTTATCTGTATTAGATGAAGTATGAGTTCCGTATTTTAATAAAAGTGAGCAAAAAATCATTTAGGTGTACCAAAAAAGATAAGCCAAGATTTGCTTAAATATTGGAAAGTAAATCGTCATCGTCAGTGTCTTGAATTCAAAATTAAAATATCTTTCAATAATTATTCTTTATTGAATATTATTAAACTTGTAGAGGTATTTTCAGTAAAAAATTAAAAAAAAATATTTCAATCTATTTCATGTCTTTGCTTTCATTATTTTTTGATTTCTTAATGGTTATCACAGGCAAAAATTTTAAATGTAAACACTCTATTCGATTCTTTTAATAATGTAAATCTGTGCTCGGAAAGAATGCAAAACGTAGAATCCAATTGCGTATGCATAGGTATGCTTTGAAATACTCCTCCATTAAATTCCCACAAAACACATCAATCTCGTTGGGTATTAGTGAAAGTATTTGCAAACAAATTTTCAGCAATTTCGAATTAGTATTCCGTGGTTGTGTGGTCTAAAAACATAAATTTTAGTTGTATGATTTCTATACTCCTTCAGAAAAAAAAACCCATCATCGTCATCAAATCAATTTCGGTGTAGTTATTGTCATTTGGACATATTTTTGATTGATATTGATTTGACACTGACAATAATTGTGGCTATTTTTCAAAATCTGTTTTTATTTTTGTCGCTGATTTGGCCATAATCATTGTCATCATAATTTTGAGAGAGTGTTTTGAGTTTAGTCTGTCAGTTTTTTGCCAATCTAACTTCAAACAGTTCGACTGTCATAAAAATATGTATTTTTTCATTGTTTCGTATTGTTGTAATGATTATTTAATTTTTTTTCTATGGCTTATATTTTACATATATACAGTCGTTTTTTTTTTATTGATTATGTATGTATGTGTCCCTCATCGTCATCATCATAATCATCGTTGTCGCTGTCGTTTCATACCTGTTACATCTTGTTGTGACGGTCCATTGCTCTCTACATGCGGCTGGACTATTTGTATGCTTGATTGTTGTTGTTGTTGCTGGTGCTGTAGCTGCTGTTGTTGCGACAACTTTACTTGTTGTACTGTGTCAGCCTGTTGAGTTGGCTGCTGTTGCGCCTGGATCGGTGTCTGTTGCTTCTGTTGTGTGGTCTCCGCTCCACCTGCAATATTATGGGCCAGCACTGATGTTAAGCCGCCACTGCACACCAAAATGAGACACAAAAGCCACAACCATTGTATCGTAACAAAATTCAATTTGTTGCGATCGGTAATCATTGCTGTCAGGGGATCTGGATTGGTAATAGAAGACGAAGTAGACGACGAAAAAAGAAGAAAAAAAAAATTGAGACAATATTAAATTAGTTTATGAAACTCGAAATGGAATTTTAATATCAGACAAATTACGATAGAAATGAATAATTTTGAATGAATATCTGGAGTAGGAAAATATAATGGTAATGTTTGTGTCTTAAGTGTTTCGTTTTGACTGTAAATGTTCAAAAGACTTAGTATCAAAAGGAGAAATATATAATTTGCCAGATGGCTTATACGATGGTATTATACGAATGTGATGAGATTAACAACAATAAAATACATCGGGAAACAAAGCTTGGTGAGCTTTAGCCCCCTAAAAACTATCAAACGGCCTTTGTCGCATAAATATCGGTGGAGGTCTGATCCATGGCAACGATATCGTCAGAGACTTAGTATCAGAATCTATGTAGGGAAAATAAATTGTCATTGCCCTAAGATTCTAAAATGTCAGGCAAGGGACCATTTGTCCAGTATGCATTTAGCTAACTTCATTTCGCTGACCGGTTTACCTGCCCACCTGAAATTGGGAACTAGCTCTATTTGTCATCAGAAATGAGAGGATAAAAATGCTTCGGTCAAAGGCAACAAACAAATTTCAATCGCGTTTGGCATCCGACCTATAACTGCTTCGTAAAACCTGATAAACTTAAAGAGGAAAATAAAGGTATAGCTCGGTAAAGTAGCAAGCACAGATTTAGTTCCATATATCTGTACATCAGACCAATAGCTCTAACGGTTCTTCAATAAATTGCTTTTATTAATCCTTAGATTCTTAAAATTGTGGCTTAAAAATCGCTGAGAAAATATTAATAAAAAATCACGCTTAAAGGTCGGGTGACTTTTTAGACACTGTACTCTAAAAACTATGTTCGGACCCAGAGAATAATTCATCATTTTATAAGTATTGCTCTGACGACCCTTTATTTATAGCTCTAAAGACCCCATAAATTCAGATTACGTCTCTGACTCTGTTCTTTAAACGGACGATAAGGGATGTTTCAATAATCCACGTTTATAGCTCAGGAGGTCTTTAGAAATCCAATGGAAAAACGGATCCTTTAATAATCCACAACTTTTATCTCTGAATCTCATTAGAAAAGCTACAAATGCATTTAGAACATTTGTTCCAAATGTCCTTATAAAAGTCCACGGAAACACATCTGGCGGTCCATACATCACTGAAGGTCCTTTGAAAACCCCACTATTATGGGCGTAAAGATCATTATAGTTCTGAATATTCTTAAGAAATCTATTCCGAAGGTCATTAGAAAAGTCGACGATTGTGCACCTGTAGATTCTTATAGCCTTGAAGGTCGTTAAGAAAATCCAGTATTACTGATCTAAAGGTCCTTAGAGCTCCGAAGCCTCCTAGAAAAGTTCCTTCTGAATTTTCTTAGCAAAGTCCACGATTATACATCTGAAGAACGTATAGTTGTGAATGTCCTTAACAAAGTCCATGAATACCAATCTGAAGGTCCTTAAAGTTTTTTTAGCTAAAAAAGTTCTGATATCTTTGATGGTCCTGAAAAAAGTCCACGATTATGTGTCTGCATTTTTTTATAACTCTGAAAGTCCTTAGAAAAATCCATTTTGAGTATTTATAGCTTTGAAGGTCCTTAGCAAAGTCCATGATTACACGTAAGTGCGTCCTCATATCCCTGGAAGTCTCTAGGAAAGTCCAAGATTATGAATCTGAAGGTATTTATAGATGTGAGTGGAAAGTCCATGGTTATGGATCTTAAGGCTCTTATAAGGTTCTTATGGCTCAGATAGTCTTTAGAAAAGTCCACGATTATGGATCTGAAAGTATTTATAGCTTTGAAGGTCCTTATCAAAGTTCATGATTAAGAATCTGAAAGTCCTTATATTAGATTATGAATCTGAAGGTCCATGATTATGGATTTGAAGGTTCTTATAGTTCTAAAGGCCCCTAGAAAAGTACACCGTTATGGATCTCTAGGTTTTTATACTCCTGAAGTCCTAAAAAAAGTCCGCGATTAAGAGTCTCAAGGTCTTTATAGTTCCAAAAGTCCTAAGAAATGTCAAAGATTTTGAGTGTAAAAGTCCTTTTGAATCCAAAGATCCTCAGAAAAGTTGACGATTATAGTTTTTCTAAATTAGAAAAATATAAATATAAAATATAAAAAATATTCTTAGAAAACAGAAGTCTACCTAAATTGGTCCCCCAGAAAATATTTTTTATACGACCCCCATTATATCTCTGATAGCTCCACAAAACATATTCTTAAAAAAAATCAGAAGTATTACTCTATTGGTTCCTCGATGGTCCATCAATAATCTGAATTATTACTCTTTTGGTTCTTTAAAAAAATATTTTTTTAATAACCTACGGCTATAGCTCGGATGGTCCTTCAAAAATGTATTCTAAGAAAGAGGAGTTTTTACTAAATTGACCCTCTAAGACATATTCATGTGAAGTTCACTGTTATAGCTCCGCAAAACATATTGCTTCAATAATCGGAAGTATGACTATGATGTTTCCTTAAAAAATGTTATTTTAAAGATCCACGGTTATAGCTAATGGTCCTTCAAAAATACTCTTAAAAAATCTGATGGTTCTTCAAGAAAAAATCAGAGTTTATTCCACAAAAGTCCACGCCGATGGCTCTAATAATCGTTCAAAAAATATTCTTTAGAAATACAGGCCTATGGTTCTAAAATAAAATATTCAAAAAAAAAAAAAAAAAAATAATAATAATAATAATAATAATGATAATAATAATAATAATAATAATAATAATAATAATAATAATAATAATAATAATAATAATAATAATAATAATAATAATAATAATAATAATAATAATAATAATAATAATAATAATAATAATAATAATAATAATAATAATAATAATAATAATAATAATAATAATAATAATAATAATAATAATAATAATAATAATAATAATAATAATAATAATAATAATAATAATAATAATAAAATTTTGTTTTAATCCACACCAATGGTTTAAGAGGGTTTTCCAAAAAATTCTTTAAACTGTAAGGTCCTTCAAAAATATTCTTTAAAAATCCACGCTTATGGCTGTAAGGGTCGTTCATAAAAAAAATCACTCCTATGGCTGTATGGGTCCAAAATTATTCTTTAAAAATCCACGCCTATGGATCTAAGAGTCTTTCAAAAGTTGTTCTTTAAAAACCCACGCCTATGGATCTAAGAGTCTTCCAAAAGTTGTTCTTTAAAAATCCACGCCTATGGATCTAAGAGTCTTTCAAAAGTTGTTTTTTAAAAACCCACGCCCATGGATCTAAGGGTTGATCAAAAAATATTCCTTAAAAAATCCGCGCCTATGGGAGTAAGGATTCTTCAAAAACATCATTTAACAACCCCGTCTATGGCTGAAAGAGTCCTTCAAAATATCTTTAAAAATCCACGCTTATGGCTGTAAGGGTAATTCAAAAAATATTCTTGAAAAATCCATGCCTATGGCTTAGGGGTCGTTAAAAAAAATTCTTTAAAGTCGTTAAAAAAACTGCAAAAATCAACTCCAATTGTTGTTGGTCTTTCAACAAAAAAATTTTAAAAATCCATGCTTGTGTTTCAATAGGCCTTTCAAAAAAAAAAAAAAAAATCGAAAACTCAAGTCTATGGCTCTAAGGGTCGTTCAAAAACACTATTTTAAAATCATCCCTGGCTCTGATGGTCCATCAAAAAATACGATCACCAGAGACCACAATATGCTTTTTTATACAGTCACAATTTTAGCTTTTTTCTCTTATCCTCTATTTTTGAAGATAACACAACTTTGACGCTAACATAAATCAAATTAACCCCTCCCCCTCACCCCCTTCGTCGTCTAAGCATTACCTTAACAGATAACAAATTTCAATCATTCACTTCAACATTTTGGCAATTTATTTACTTTTAAATAGAAACATTAAAAGCCAATTAACTTTCATAACACCGCCGAGTTTGTGTCTTAAGTCTTTTGTTTTTGGTGTTTCTTTCTATGTCTGACGTTAAATTCAATTACCAAACAATAAAGACATAAATATTCCGTTTAGCGAGTGACAAATTTTAGCTTTCATTGTAATCGTTAAAATAAATATTCGCCAACGAAAAATAAAAAAAAAAAAAAACAGAAAAACACAAATGGACAAACGAATGAATCTTCTCGAAAAACGAAAAAAAAACTGAAGTAAGTATTTGGTGGGAAAATTTATGATTTTCTTAAAACCACAACATAAATTTAAATTAACTGTCAACGGGTGAACAACAAACAGACAGAAAAAAATCCAAGACATTTGCTTTGGCAATGTTACAACAACGCGTTGTGTTGAATGCTGCATAAATCAAGCAAAATTTAAGCAAGAAAAGAAATGATTCTCATTTTCGGACTTACAATTTTAAATTAAAAACACAAAAAGAAGCCGATGCCGCCAAAGCTCGGGAACATCGATCTTTCTTTCTTTCTTTCTACAACATCATCATTATCATCTTCTTCCTTCTTTGCTTGTTATAACATAACATCATTGAACCAGCAGCAGCAAAAATTAAAGGGAGAAATAATTTCACTTTCAGCCAGCAAGAGTTTGAGAAACACAAAAAAACTTGGATGAATGACTGTTTTGCGACTGGATCTCCAAAAGTCCAAAACAAAAGCAAAAGTTACAGGAAACCCCTCTGAGTTATGGTGCCATAGCTCAGCCAAAAACACACACACAGAACGCAACAAACCGTCAGTCGCCAGCCATGTCATGTAACACAACCTACCATCGAACAATCCCTAAGGACACGTTGAACATATTTTATCGTTTCTAAAGAAGCGAACCAACGAAAAAGAAATATTCCCATCCTTGTTTTAATTCTCCAGCCACCCGGACACATATATCTTGCGTATGTTTCTTTCGCTGCCTGTCGTAGCTGCCACAAAAATGCAATTGTCAAAAATTGATCAGCCCACCCATGCAATTTGTATATCTTCTTTTCGCTTTT